AAAAAAAAATCTTTGATAGAAACAAAAGAAAAAAAAGCATTACCTATGTTACAAATAATACTGTCAGGAACCAATATACTGACCTTTTCTAAAAATATACTTCCTTGATCATATTTATTTCGATTATTAAAAATATATTGAACATCATCAATATTATGTACGATAGTATATCGTGTAAAACCCACCCAAAATAAATAAATATCACCAAAACGTTCTTTGTAAGATATATAAACGTCAGAAATTGGTTTAGAACCAAATAATAAGCCTGATTGAATTAAATTTCCAAAAAAGAAATGTGGTGGTTGACCAGGCACTGGACCACGAAGTGTAAAATATTTCAATTTCATATATATTAGCCATAAGATGGCGAAAAAAATAACTAAGAAAACGAACATTTACGATTGTGTTGTATGAGAAAGTGGTTATGTATAAATATGTGATACTAAATGAAACGATTGCGCGCACATGTTTCTTTTCGTTTTCTTTCTTTATCGTTTCCTCTACACGCACAGAGCAGACGAAGTCCACTCGATCATTTACAAATAGACAGAGAAGCAGAATGAATGAATCGACAAATATATACCTAAAAAATATTAAAATCAATGCAATTTAAGGATCAATTTTCTTTTTCTTATTAAGAGTGTGTGTGGATAATGAGTGAGTCACTCGCACCCACACCCTCAAGATGAAAATTATCTAACCATAAGTTGTTTATGTTGATGATGGATCTAATAATTTCCTATATAAAAATGTGTTGTGCTCACATAATCATTTTGTAGAGGATCAACGTAAGAAAAATACCAACACATAAAGATATGATTAATGAATCGTATTATTTTTTTATTTTCTTGGTATATAGAAGGAGAAAAGACACAAGAATAATTTGCTTCTAATAATGAATGTTTCACGTTAAACATAGATGCGTCCTATCAAGAATGGTGAAAAGGACATTAGAATAGCATGTATAGAAAAAAAAAGAAATAAAAATAGATTTTTTTAGGATTTTTCACACAATAATCAATTATAATCGGATTTTTAGCTATTTGTTTACGTGGGAGACTGAGAAACGAAACATTGTGGCAATATATATCTCATGCCATAAAGAATGCTGATTCCGTTTCATTTCCTCACGTTCTACTGATATGGTTGAGTATCTCAAGAGTGAATATTGTAAAGAGAAGGATGATTCTTGTTTTATAAAAGAAAGAGAATAAAGAATGAAAAAGAGCGATAACACGAACGAGACCTGTTAATATAAATCCACATGCGAACCTCGGTACGATGCTTTGATATTCTTTTATATTTCGATCGAAATTGTTTTAATATTTCTCTTTTTTCTCCTTCAGTGATTTTTAGTTTTTTTTTCTTAATTCAAGTGAAGCGACAAGGTTTTTTTGTACATTCATTCTCTCAAAATAACATCTATTGATAACGAAAGAATCCACTAGTTCTTAGTATTCATCGTGTATATAAGTTACTTAAAATAAACTTTTTTCATTTGATTCAGCATATATAACGAGAAGTTTTTATACACACTGAACAACTGCAAATAAGTATAAAACAAATTAAAGTAAGAAAAAGTTGATTAAGCCAGATAATCTGAAAAGTTGTTTTATATGTTATTAATAGTTTTCACAAAGGTCGTTTTAAAGAAATTTGAACTGTATTTTAAGGCGGTTAATACTAATATCACTTTAAAGTCTATATAAGTATGTGAATTTTGTCTATTTTTCACTTGTGTTGAGAAAGATTGATATGAAAATCTGTCACATTATGTAATTACTATTAGTAAAATTAGATTTAATTTTTTTATAGAATCTATGGAATTGTCGAGACCATCACTTGTGTCTATCTGTAATGGTGATGAATGCGCTTTCCTTTCTTGGTCGTCGGTAATCAACGCGACTCAATATGAAGTTGAAGTTAAACATAATAACACTGGAGTAACAACTCTTTATTGTACAACTTCCACAAGTTTCTTAATCACAAAATTGGAAAATGGAGAATTTTATATAGTTCAAGTAACGGCATTAAATAATATTGAACGAAGTGAATCGTCTATTGGTGTTATGTTAAGACCAAAATTACGTCAATCTTTATCTAAACTTTTCGCTAGGTCCACTGAACAACAAGGTCGAATTAGACTACAATGGACGTCTACTCCAACTGACTGTGGTTTTCAAATCGAACGATGTAATATTGGTGATACAAGCGGATATAAGCGTATCGCATGGCTTCCATTTAATAACATAATGGTATATGAAGATCAAACTGATTGTCTGCCAGAATGCCTTTGTCCTGGACATTATTATACAGTTGCATTTCGTGATACAGCATGGTCATCTGGTGCAGGAGTATTAAGTAAAAAAGTTTTTTGTACGGTGTCGTCAAATTCAAACTCTATTAAAACATCTCTAATGCTGCCAAATGAAATATCAGGTTCGTTAAGTTTTTTCCTCAATATTGTTTTGAATTTTTTACAACCGACGCGTTCTCTAGTGCTTCTACAGCATCTTTTATCACCATCATGAGAATGGGTGCCGGTATAAGTGTAGATGAGAGTGTGTGTGGAGTGAAAAAGAAACGGACTCACATCTATATTTACTATATTTAACTCACACCTATTACATTAACCATGCCCCCGCCTACTAAATCCATCCCATCCCCAACGACGCTCATCCACGTCCGCATTCACCCTTAAGAGCTCTACTTATGTTACAACTAACTTTTCTCTCTTGCTCTGTGTGAATATATGTGTGTATATATCCATTCTTCTCTGTTGTAGGTAGAGGTTCATCATATGGTACAAGCAATGCAACAATAATACACATCATAAAGGTACGAGTTCGTCCAACAGAGGCCATATGCCAGTTGGAGACTTCTGATGAAGTCCTTATTGGAGATTTTTTGACTGATGTTTGGTTGAAATCGGGTCTTGATCAGCCGTCCAACCATTACTATCTGATGTTTGCCGGACAAGAACTCAACCTCGATGAGACCATAAGAAATTCGGGTCTGCTTGATGCAGTAGGCTGTAATGATGAAAACTGTCCTGAACTACGATTAAAATTCTTATATAAACTTGATGAATCGGCTCATCTTGCAACAAATATCGTACTTACTTCACTTGAAGAACTTGTTTATAAAGATGTTTTCGAAATATCCTATTGTCCAACACAACAACAGATCATGCCTGAAATCTTAGAACCATCGGTGAAAAGAATTAATGAAAATAAATCACAATCCTTAAAATATTCATTAAATCTAATTTCGATGCCTGTTTTTACGAAACAAGTGATCGATGAGTTGCCATCATTGTATGTTACTGTACCACTCAAACCAACTGAATTTGACTCGAATGAATTTTTACAATGCTTAGCCAAGGATCTTGAAATTGATCGAAATGATATGTTTTTAATGAATGTTCAAGAGGGTAGTACCAGATATCAGATCAAGTTCAAAACTAAAATATCATTATGCCTAGAAAAAATGAAAAAAATTGCTGAGAAAATAAAGGTGATCGTTCTTCCATCAAGCAAAAGCGCCGAGTTCATTGCTAGACAGAAATCATTAGGAAACATTGAAGAAATTCCGAGAATTGATATCAAATTAGATGACGTGGCTGAAAATGCAGACTCTGTCTTGGCCAAAACATTGGCATCTGATGATATCGATGCGACTCTTGCAATTATGCAGCGACCAGCAATTGTTGATCCACCTATATGGGAATACCTCACTCAGAAGAGTCGCAAAATTAGTAGTGGCATTTTACATGCTTTTCAAACATCGCCAGTTGAATATGTCATTGAAAGTATGTCACTTGTTCATAATGAAGAACTTTATCACAAATACAACAATTATGCAGTTGAGGGTGAAGAAGCGATACTCTTCCATGGAACGAAAACAGACTATCTCGACGGTATATTTAGTACGAATTTTAAGACTTTTTATACAAGCGGTTCACATCATATTACCGATTCAGGCTAGTACGGCCAAGGAACATATTTTAGTAGTTCACCAAAATACTGCGCTAGCTACGCTGGATCGAGTTATAACAGTATCACGTACTTAATATGCAGTCTAGTCAAACTCGGTAAAGTATACCATGTTAAAGATATGTTATATCAGGGGAAACCGATGCGTTCGGACGCGGACACTCATTATGTGAAAGTGGATACATCTGGTTCACCAACTAATGCAAAGCATTCCTTCTTCGAAGAGTTTGTTATTAAAAAGAGCGATCAGATTCTTCCACTCTATCTTGTTGGGCTACGCCGAATTCATCGTTTTGTTCTTTGGCGGGATGCCAAAATTAACAACAGTGAAAATGGTACTCTGTTCAACCAGATGAAGCAACGCTATAGTTTTAATGTATATGGAAGTGAAACATCTCTTGAAGCACTCACTATTCTCGGATGCAAGCTAGCTGATTCCTTCATGCAATGTGTAGTTGTCACAAATGGAGCCGATAACGGTAAAAATTTTGCACAGGAATGTCGAAACATACGGCCATCGGTGCCAATCATTGTCTTTTGCGCAAATGTGGATTATCACAAACAATGGGCAGAAAATATAAGCGGTAGTGACCAACCGCAAATTCAAGTTACCGGTAATTCAAGTGTCGTGTTCACCTTTATCAACACTAACTTTCCCAGTGGAGATGTCCCGGACAAAAACTGAAAACAACATATTTTATTTTACTTTTAGAGATTCATAGCCTTTTATTTAATGATGAAAGTTATAAAGAAAACGGGAGCAAGTCAAAAACATGATTTCACATGAAAGCTGATTAGGAAGAAAGAAACGGAGGGACGCATGACAGCTGTCTTATGTCTCAGAAGAGATTTTTATAAGGTTTATGAGTGTGGATGAGGATGAGGATGGAGGGTGGTATAGATGTGAGTGATAATGGAATGGATCACTCCGCATGTCGTCTTTTTTCTTGAAAAACGTCGATTCAAACTGATTTCTCATTTTCCATCATTTATTTATAATTTGTTTTATAAGACTGATGTTATCCGTCTTGAAAACGTTAAGTTTTACTTTAACAAATAAGTTTCAGTAGCGCACAACATAGTATTTTAGATTCGCGTTAGAATTTTCCATATTGGTTAATATGTTAGCTGATAAATATTTTTTGTGATGCCATCTTTAATATTTACTCAAAGTTGTAAACTAAGCAAAAACAACCGATGTGGTTGGTACTGGCGGTCCGAGCGCGTTTACATATAGGAGGAGACGCGTTTTTGACTCCAATGTGACAGTTTTGTAAGAGTTAAAAAACATTTTGGCAATGAGACGTGATAAAAATAAGATATGAAAGAAACGCCGTTAATCGACAGCTTTAGGTTGGTTTTAGTGGCATGAGTCAACATTCATACCCCACTCTATACATCATTCAATAGAGAAAATAAAGACCATGCATTTGATATATAAATCAAATTACAAAAAATGAACATGAGTGTAAAGACTGCTTAGATACATGTTACATACTATAGCCCTGTAATGAACAGGTCATGTTCAACTTCAAATTAGTCACGCATAGTCAAATTCAAAAGAAACGGTGTCAGTGGAACGATCAGAACTCAATATTGTAGGAAAAGAACGGTCCTGGATGACGGACCGATTTCCTCCTTATTGTCACGCCTCATTTGTTTAGGAAATACTGTTCATAGCAACGAATTTATAATGAAATGAATTTTTTACGCAATTTTAAAGGAAAAATTTTAAATTAATAACACTAAGCAAAGTTGATAGTGAGTCAAATGAATGCGAGTGACCTTGAGAGTAATCGATGAATATCGTATACCTATTTGTGTTTCGTTCTATCTATATATTCATTGAAAGTGCTAAGAAAAAACGATATTAAAAAGTTTCATTTCTGACACCTTCTGACTACATGGTTATTAAATTGATACGACAAACTATTACTATACAGTATTGATATGTGTATGAAGCTCTTGAACAATAGCATTTCGAGATACGTAATATTGAAATGAACTTTTATCGATGGATCCTAGACAAAAAAAATATTTAAAAAAAAAAGTATTATCAAAAATCGACGACTTAAGATTATATTTAATGTGTTAAAAAAATTTAATTAAATATTCAAAATGTATGTGATCAATGACATTTTTCGATTCTCTATTTGATACAAATCATTGAATGAATATTACAATAAAATAATCCTGTGTTCTTAGATGCACTTATGTATTTAAATGTTGAAATGAATAAATAATTGTTCTCATACTTTAGTTCTAATGTAAATATTCACTTTAGCTATCGAATATACATATTGTATAAGTATAGAAAAGAAAAAAAAACGTAACTTTCATGTGCTTTATGATTCAAACGCACATTTCATAACACAGTCGTCAACCACATGCTTTCATTACCTTTTTTCTTCTTGTTATAACAACAAGTATGGTAAAAGTAAGAGGAACATTTTTTGATAAAGATTAGAGACATCTTATTTAACAACGGATTTTTTACTTTTTTTTCGATATCAAAACGACAATTCATATAAACAATTTACTTGTAGATCGTAGTATATAACTTCGTCAATGCCATCTCAAGATTCTGATGAGACTATTGAAAAAAATGATTGGAATAAATATATAGAAGCAGTTAGACAAAATAACATAAATTTAGTCGATCAATATATAAAATGTGGTGGTGATTTAAATTATCCAGTGGTACCTCAAGGTGCAATACATTGTGCGGTATATTTTGATTTTATCGACATCGTGAAGTTATTACTCGAAGCTGGAATCAATGTTAATCAACAAGATGAAGATGGTGATACAGCGTTACATTATGCAGTTGGTCAAACAAAAAATATTGAATGTATTAAACTATTATTACATTATGGAGCTTGTCCACTTCTTCCAAATAATTCATCAGAAAAAGCGACACCTATAACTGTGGCTAATCGTGCTGATGATAAACAAATCCTTGACATATTAACAGAAAATGTTAAACTCACCAAAAATTTATGTAAGGCAGCTGAAGATGGAAATGTTGAACTTGTTCAGAATTTATTAGAGACAACAGAAGTAAGTGTAAATGGATTATCAGATGAACTTTTGGCTCCAATACATGAAGCATCACTTGCTGGTCATTTATCAGTAGTTAAATTGTTAATTGAATTTAAAGCTAATATAAATGCAAAGGTAGTATCAGAAGCTGCAAAAAACAATACACCATTACATTGTGCAGCAACAAACGGTCATCTCGATATTATCAAATATTTAATTGAAAATCATGCAATAAATGATACTGTCAATTCAAGTGTACACACACCATTACTTGGTGCAGTTATCATGGAAAAACTAGATGTTGCTGAATATTTAATTAAAGCTGGAAGTAACGTACACGTACGAGATTCTATAGAAAAGACACCACTCCATTGGGCAGCATTCTATGGATTGAATAGTATTATTTTGTTATTACTTGAACATGGAGCAGATATTAATGCATTGGATCATTTTGGACAACCTCCCATACATTGTGCGGTAGGATATCCAATTCGTGTAGAAACTATCAAATTATTAATAGAAAAAGGTGCCAAGGTTAATATTATGAATGATATGGGTATGACAATTTTTGATTACTGTGTTAATAACACCCCAGATGAAATTGATTTAATTGAATTTATTAGAAAACGTAGCGAATAAATTTTTTCTCAAATTAGTTTACTTTTTTTTTATAGAATTAGAAATAATAGATGAATGTAAAATAAACAAAACTCTATATATGATTCATAAAGAATCGATTATTTTCTTTCTTACTTATATTTTATTGTTTGAACTTTAGTTCTTTTTATGAAACGCTCGATATTTAACGTAAGTATAATCATCATCATTCAAATAACAAAATGCAATATTTCGAAGATCGTTACTTTTCAATTCGTGAGATACTAATACAAACTATGTCTGAGATTAAATAATCGGTTCACGTGAAGGGTTGGTTACTTATTTTATAAAAAATTTCAGCTCGTTGTTAATGATCAGATCAATTGCTATTGCAAAGTATCTTCGATAATATTATTAAATGTTACTATTTCGTTCTATCATAGCACATCGTAGAGATTCACAATGTGGTTTTATGATAAATTCATGTATTTTGCTATTTAAAATACAACACGCAAGTAGATAAATCAATGGTTTTTAGGCTATTTAATCTACGATAATAATATTTTATTTAATAATATTAAAATAAAACCAGAGTATTTTCTATCATGCGATATAAACTATTTATTTTATTTTCAACATTAATTTCTGTATCAATTGCATTGTTATTAACTTCTCGTCGTTACATCGAACAAGATGATTTCTGATTTACTTCTACAAATAAAAATTTTAATGAATAATATAACTACACAAATATAGTATGAAAGCTAAGCGAAATCAATGATCCTATTATTTATTAATAATAATCGAAGTATAAACGTTGCGAAAAATGATATATATATATATATATTTGACCTTCAGTTGCTTGTGTATCTCGTGACAAATTATAAAACGTTGTACTATTGACTTTGTATTGTCTTTAATTTTATAAAGGCAAAATCTTTGAACGTTCATGTTGTTTTTAGAAATTGAATTAAAATCTGAACTTTTTGAATCTATGTAAAATAATATTAAAACTAGCGGACGGTTCATTAATATATATAAATACATGCAATGCTTATCAGTTTGTTAATCCAGTAGGAAAATATTTCAATATCGGATTGCATAATGAACAACTTTAGATATTTCATTTTCTTAATTTTTACAACATGTTTTACATCAAATATTAATTGATTAACCCTTTAAGTACCAACGGGGCCTATAAGCCCCACTTTTTAGAATTTGACAAATTCTGAATAAATTACGAATGCGAAACAATATCGAAGTGCACTTGCCACTGTGGCATAGAGGACATATAGATGCTTGTATTCGCGCGGTATTTATCATTTTAATAACCCTTGAAGTACTAGCGTGCCGTAGGAGGATACGGGTATTAATCGAAAATGACTTCAAAAGTTCTTCGAAAAGTTTCGATGAAAATATTCACAACATACAAAATACATGTTAAAAATAAAGTCCTAGCAAAGTTTCATCCATTCGCTGAGCCATGGTACGAAAAGGGTTAATACTAAACAAACATGTTCAAGTAAAACTACTGTGAATAATAAATAATTAATCATTTATATAAAATATATAAAAATTTGAAATAACTAATTATAACAGATAATAGCAATAGCATTTTCTTGATATTCACAGAAAAATGATATAATATTAATATGAATTCAACGAAAGAAAGAAATTTGTTAGACAAGTTTCATGCGGATAATCGAATATGTAACGGTTTGTTTTTCATCTGCATAGTTTTATAATATTAGTCATGCTTGGGAAGTTATTTTAAGGATTTATTGTGGAGAAAATTAACTAAATCAGTTTATATATTCATTTTTTATGTCGTATGAGTTAATGGCTGCAAGTATTTGAAATATGACCTATTTTAATTTTTTCACTATTAACAAGATCTATAGAATTTTATAAAATAAAATAGATATGTATCGTCGAAGTATACTATCGTATTTCATCTGCACATTCAACGAAAAGTTAGTAATATGATTAATCGAAAAACTGAAAAAAGTACAAGTTGATTGTAATAAAATAATATTTGATGAAAGTAATAAAACACTCAACTATGCATTATTGTACTATTACAACAAGGATAAAATTTAAGTAATGACTCAACAATAATTACATTAAAATATATTGCTTATATGAATTGATAATTATGTTTTATTTCATTCTATAGTTTTAGATAAAATCAGTATGTCTATCGACGTAAAAGATTATATTTTTCTTTTTTTTTCTCGAGAAGCCACATTCAAAGAAATGAGATCATAAAAAAAAGGAGTTATAATCTCTATCATCATAAGTATACTATTATAAAAAATTGAAGAGAATTATACGACAATTTCAAATGAGTCGAAACTATGTACGAAAGCAAATATCTACTGGTCGAAGAAAATCAACAACATTACCTGTTTTCCTTCACGAACAAGAAGAAATTGAAAATGCTCGTCGTTTAAGTACTTGTGCTAGTCTTCAACGAAGATTATCAACTATTTCACAAATAGTTTTACCACATGGAGATGAATATCATCCACAACAACATGTACCACCTTCAGGTCCTGAAGCTCCACAATCAATTTTAGTAAGATCTACAGACGATGACAATAACGTATTCCCTTCACGTCGATTATCAACAATATCACAAAAATTTAATGCTCTTGATGAATCTTTTACTTCAAGTGAAGTACATAAACAAGAAAAATTAAATAAATTTCATCGAAATTTTTTATTTATTATTGAACCTATTCTAAGTGGTATATTCTTATTTCCAATACTTGTTTTATTTTGGGAATGTGGTTGGAATTTAATTTTAATACTTCTAAATCGTTTAAATGGATTTCCATCAAATTTACATTTAGATGAAATTACTCAAGAAGATTTTGAATCCTATACATTTCTTTCATTATTTATTCCATATTTAATAACAGAAATTATACTTTTATGTTATTATCTTGGTCAAGATTTTTTTCATGAATTTTTAAAAGAAAAACATTGGTTTATAAAAACAATTCTATTAAAATTTCATATATTTCTATTAGCATCACTTTATATTGTTCAATGGGAAATGTTATGGACTCTATGGGATCAATTTACGCCACATGAAACATATTTTGAAGTAACATTATCAATAGCAGCAATATTTGCATTAATTGTTTTTATTGGACATTTATCGGATTTAGTTTGTTCACCATTTCTTTTTAGTTATGATTCAATTGAATATTGTATTTATTTCGGTTGTCCACTTCTTACACGAAATGTAAACTATTTTCTTCTATTTTATTTAAAATAAATTTTTCTTTTTCTTTTTAAAGATGAAAATATGGAAAATAAATGTTATTAATTATATATTATATGAAATAATTATTTCGAATTTATCAATAATGATATGGAGAGGTTTTTATCATATTCTTGATGATCATTTTTATCCAGATAATTTAACATTATCAGCTGGTCTTTGTTTAATTATGGGTTATATACTTTATTTTCCATTGATGTATTTTCAAAACTATTTAGAAGAATTAAATTTAAAATTTGAATTTTGGACATTTGTTTCAATAAATTTTCCACAATTTTATCGAAATATTCGTCATTTATTAGCATTTTTTTCTTGTCTATTTACTTGGCGTGGTTTTTGGGTTTTATATGATACTTATATATATGTATATGATGATTATTATATAACATACCTAATATTTTATATTGTATCATTTATAGTATTATGTATTTTTCAAACAGCATCATCAACAAATGGTCCACTGAGTAATATGGAAGATGAAAATAATTTTTTTCCACTTTATCCACATTGTTATATATCGATTGTTCAAAGAAAATTATCTCGACTTCCATGTTTTCAATCAAAAGACGAAGAAAATACACACCTTTAAAAGAATTTCTTATTTGTATAGTCAATCAAACAAAGACAATAGACATTCTTTTCCATAAAAAACAATCAGATAAATTATCAATTAACTCAAAGGGTGTTTTCTTTCTACGAAGATAATAAATTCAAATATTCATGAACCAAAACAAGAAAATATATTTTGAATTATTTTAATCAATAAAATCTTAATAAAAAAAATTATAAGCTACTAAATCTTGAGGGTGTGGATATATGATTGATCTGATCAAGCACACCCACCAGTGGCGTACGCAGGGGGTGCGCCGAATGGGCCCGGGCCCACCCCTAGAATTTTGCCGATGAACTTGGTCTTACAGTAGTTTCTTTTTTTTTACAGCTGAGCTTTATAATAGAAGTTGATGAATAAATACTAACAACTTTAGTGAAAAATTAGATCAAAATTCTTTTCCAACAAGTTCCAGTTTCTATAGAAATGGGCCCACCCCTTAAAAAGTTTCTGCGTACGCCACTGACACCCACACCCACAACCCACCCCTAGTTATCAGTAATGAAATAGTTGAAGTATGATCTTTTTTATCTTGATTTAGTGAACCAGAAAAGAAAGTGCTCCATTGAAAATTGTTCAAACTAATGATCATATATTTTTTCTCGTGGATATTTCATTTGATAAATTAATTGATAAAAATTATTTTTATTTTATTTATTGTTTATCAAATTAATTATATATCATAATTTAAGAAAAACTGTTCCGATCATTGAATAAATACATTTGTAAAAGATACAACACCAACAAAAAGCACTAAAAAGAAAATAAACAATAAATATTTTTATTATAAGTTTTAGTTTGGTTTATTAACTTACTCATAAATGACAATGTAGTCTGTGTTTTTGGTATTCCATTTGTTACTATTGCTAGAATGAAATATGATTTCAATAAGAGAAAAAGATTCAAAATTTGTACTGACTTGGTAATGAACTGGATGATTCACCTCCAACTGTGAAATATGCACAACCAAGAAGACCATTGTTACAATCTAATTCAATTTTGAGTAATTTTCCAGCAAGATATGAGGCTACATAATATTAAGTATATATACATTTATTTCAATAATTATACTAACCCAAATAAGCATGATTTGATTGAATAGTACGTGCAAATAACTGATCATGTTTAGTAGCATATATAATATCTGTAATTGATGTGTTTTGTTCATTCGAGTCGATATATGTAGTTAGAAATCCCTCTTGACTCGGTTCATAGTAAGAAAATCCACGACTATTGCATCCTTGACCAGCAGCTAAATTTGATCCATTAGCAAAACGAATTGGATTATTTTTATTAAGTTGAACATCACCTGGACTATTAGGTTGAGGTGGAGGTAAGGTAAATGATGGATAAAATGGATCTGTAAATGCATAGATACATTCTGTTATATGATTACCTGAAATCAAAAGAATATATGATTTTATCATTGAATCTTATATGAAATAGGAATCGATTTACCTTCTATTGTTTCTGCATTTATTATTCGAAACATCAATAAAAATAACGTTAGTAGTATTCTTATAAAAATCATATTACTTTTCATGTAGAAAATCTTTACTTACACGTATAATAGAAAAATAAAAAAAAAATCTTTTATGAGATAAATAAAATAAAACATTCGTAATCTTTTATTTTTCGTTTCTATTCATGATAATAAAAGTAGTATAGATATATCTATATCAGCAAATAAAAATAAAGATTTACAGATTGTTATTACTCAAAGCAATTTGCTTTTAGTTTTTTATCTCTATGAAAACATGAAGAATAAAAATAGTAAATGTTAACATATCTTTGAAAAGTATTTAAAGAATTTTCATACTGAATAAATAATATTTTGTAAAATCTGTTTTGGTGCTGTGTGCAACTGGAGAACGGGTTTGCTGCGGACATTATCAATGAGTCATTGAAAGCGGTCTCATACATGATTTACTTCAAGTAAAAGAACTCGCAAAAGAGTAACTGTATTTTTTTATTAACGATTATTCTTTTTAAAAATATCTTCTGATTAATATGAATTAATACAATTATTAAATATAAAACAATATTTTTATTAGTAATATAAGATATGATTACAATCAAACAGTTATTTGCACACTAATCAATTATTGTTCATATGCAAACAGAATATCTTTATCATAGTTTTTGATTCCGATCAATCAGTTTTATTATTATATCTTCAAGTTTGTGGTTTATTTTATTTTGTGCGAGTTCTAAGGTGATAAGTGTCTATGTAAAAAAGTATTAATGAAGATCGAAAAAAGATTGAGAAAGTGAAAATCATCATATTATTTTGTAATGCATCAGTCAGATGTTGTGCTCCAATATCTCCTATTTGATTCTGTTCGAGAAATAGTTCAATAAGTGTCTATATGAAAAAAATGCAGATAAAGATATAACATACATGGAAAAAGAGTATGCAATACTGTATTAATTCTTAACGAATCAGCTAGATGTTGAGCTCCGATATTTTCAATTTGAGTCCCGTTGAGATTTAGTGAAATGAGTGCCTAGGAGAAAGACTACACATGAGATAGACAGAGAGTGTATGAAATTTACCATATTATATTGTAATGCAGTAGCCAAATATTGTATTCCAACATATCCAATTTCATTCTTTTCGAGATATAATTTGGTCAGTGTCTATGTAAAGAAGATGTAGATGAAGACGTAATCTACATGAAAAAAAGATTGAAGATTACTGTATTCTTTCGTGATGTATCAGCTAGATGTTTTGCTCCAACATCTCCTGTTTGAGTAAATCTAAGATTTAATGTGATGACTGTCTGTATAAAATATTACGGATGTCAATATGAGATAGTTGAAAAAAGATGAAGGCATACCGTGTTGTATCGTAATGCATCAGCTAGACATTGTGCTTTCACAGTTCCAATTTTATTGGATTGAAGGTTAACTAAGATGAGTGTCTATAATAGATTCTATCTCAATTTGTTAAATTCTAAATTCTTCTCTATAGTAGAATTTTAGACTTTATTTCATTAAAGGATAAATTAATTTAACAATTATTAAACTCTCCCATAAAAATCTTCCTTTGTTTTTTTCTTCTTATCTCAATATTACACGTGGGCTGATGAAGAAATAATATATGTAATTTCAATAAAACATTTATAAAAAGAAAAATAATTTAATAATTAATTTCTTCGCTCATATATTATTAGATTATAAATTATAAAAATAATCAAAGACATTTCACCTGATATCGATAATAACTATCAATAATGTTATTTAATCATTGACAAACATTTCTCATTGAACATAGAATAGTAAAATCATTTTGTTGATCAAGAATTCGATAAACAAGTTCTACTGGTATTGTAAGAAAAGACATTGGATCTAAAACTTCTTCAATTCTATTGTATGTTATTTCGAATGTTGTTGTTCTTTCTTTTTGATGATGTAATTACTTGTTGAAAGGTAAAATAAGATTTAAGATAAAATAGATTTTGAAAACAAAATGTCTCTACATAATTATCAGTACATATAATGCAAAAGAAAGAATCAAGGTCATATATTTATTGACTACAAAATAATACATGTATTGGAATTAATATTTTTAAATAGAGATTATATTTTAATTGGACTGTCTATGGCTGTTGACTTAGAATATATAATTACAGTTTGAGAGATTTTGTACTAGGATAATGATGAGATTGTTTGTAATCTTACCATTAAATGAAGTTTTCTTTTGCGTCGTACAAATGATAAAGTGGTTTTTTTCCTATTTTCTTATTAGACATGTTGTATTATAGGCATTATTTTCATTTTATAATGAATCTTGTTAATATTTTTTTTCCTTTAGATCAATTAATAACAATGTCATCACAATCTAATTCTACTATACCATTGGTATTAGTACAAAAACAATTATATAGATTTGGTGGACCTATTTTAATGATTTTCGGTACTGTGAGTTCTATACTCAGTTTAATAATTTTTCTTCAAAAGAATTTACGTAAAAATCCCTGTTCAATTTATTTAATAGCATTTAATATTGGTAATTTATTTCTAATTTATACATCATTATTTTCCCTTATATTAATAAATGGTTATAATATGGATTCTAGTTTATATAATTTAATTATTTGTCGTCTTCATTTTTATACAATGCTTATATTCGATGTTTTAAGTCCATCTTATTTAATATTAGCTTCTATTGATCGAATCTTAGTTACTTCACGATATGCTAAATTAAGATGGCAAAGTACTCATCGCCTTGCTTATATATGTATTATGATTGTAACATTATTTTGGTTGTTATTTCATAGTCATGCATTAGTTTTAACAAATATTATCGAACCATTACCAAATTTTTTTCGATGTTATTTTCAACCTGGAATCTATTTAGTATTTTTAGGCTATTATTCTTTGATCATTAAAGGAATTCTTATTCCTCTATTGATGATTATTTTCGGATTGTGGACTGTGAAAAATATTCGAAGTATTGGTCGTGTTGATCCTCGTCCTGTTTTAATAATTACTAGAAGAAAAACGATCGGTGGTTTATATCTAAAACATTCAAAAGATCGACAATTTATCCAAATTTTATTTATTGATATTATAGTATATATTATTTTTAGTTTAATGATATCAGCCGTTTTCATGTACCAACAGTTTGCTCAATATAAATCATACAATTTGATTTCTGTTCAAATTCTAGGCTTTTTAACATCTATAGCTACTTTTAGTTCTTATATTCCATTCTGTTTTGGATTCTATACCAATTTCATAATGTCCAAGCAGTTTCGTCATGAAGTTAAACATTATATTCTGTGTCAATAGAATGTGTGTGTGTGTGTGTATGAATGTGAATTATAAATTAGTATTTAACTTGTCTTAAAATGGTTAATTGTTATTTGTTGTTTCAATGTTGTGTTTAAAAATACTTTTATATCATTCAATATTGTTAATAAAAACTATTGAAAAAAAGAATTTGTTTATATTTTTTAATATAAAGAACGACTTAGACTTGCTATAGAGACGTAAAATTTTAAATTTGTTAGTTTAGCAATGAGAGTACTAGTTTGACTCTTACAAATGCTCTCAACTTCATTAACAATTAGAGAACAAAAGAAATAAAATGTTAATTGAATAATTTAATCAAAAATCTTTTTTCTTATAAATGATCAGAAGTAAAAATAATTGAATAATTATCAATAGTTGTTAGAAATAATAGTTCAGCTTTTTGATAAATTTGTTCAACTGTACGTAATAAAGCTTTTTGTAATGGAATAAAACTTTGTTCGTCATTCTTTAATAAATGTATTAATTAATTCATTATCTAAATGTGAAAACTCTGGTTTAAATTATCTTTCATACAATTAGCGTGTGATGATTGTGGAACTTTTTCAGTATATATTTATTATGGTGGTGAATTTTTCATAAAATATAAAAATTGATTAGCTAATTCTTGTATGTGTTCACATACAGCTTTTACTCTTGAGAAAGAAAAATAAACATAGTTTTTCAACAAAAAAAACTGTATATATATTTTCAGTTTGACGATACATAACCATATTTTGTAATACCACAAAGATAATAATTCATAATTTTCAGTCTTTTGCGTGTGTTGAGCAAATCTGAAAAAAAACATTTTATTTTTATCTGTAATCTAACCGATATCATTAGTGCAAACTAACCAATTTTCATTTGTAAATCAAAACGACCACGGCGAAGTAATGCTGGTTCAATCATATCACCCAGGTCGAACAATCCGGCACGGACACGGCCGGTTCCATGGTATTCCGGAGATTTCATGGAAGCAGTATTCCCGTTGAACGGATCCGGTGACCGAATTTATCTAATTCAGGCCGAAACCGACAGGAACATGTCAAAGCCAGCAGCCGAATGCGGTTACCTCACGTTTCCGTCGGATTCCTGGCATTTTCCGGGCGGGTTGCGCCCGGAAATTCATGGAATCCAGCTTCAGGAACCATCGTCTTGGGCTTCTTCAAAGAGCTCTCGAACTGCTTGCTCTGATTCGCCAATCAATGAGTTTATTAATTCTGGACCATTAATTACTTTTGGTTCAAGACCAAAATACTCGCACAATGCACTATAAAATAAATTTAGAAATATTGACTAGATAAAAGCTAATTTAGAAAACATACAGTATAGTGCTTGTTTCGCCTGTACCAAGCGGTCCATGTAAAATAACACCACGAACACATTGCATTCCTATAAAAAAAAATTGGAAATGATGTGATTATCAAATAGATGAAATTTACCTATTTTTCTCTACACAAGTCGGCAGAAAATTTTCGTGGTCTAAAAACTTTTCTTACGATTTCTTCAATTGCCGGTGTGCAACCAGCAAGTTTTAATTTTGTGTAATCAATTTGCGCCTTCTTGTTTATCACTGATGATTCGATACCTTTCACACGATATTTATGATTTAAATGAAGACGACGCAGCTTGCTCTATTAAAGAAAACAAAAAAAAATTAGATTGAAAAATAGATTAAGATTGTTTGTGTTAATTTAAAAGTGAGAAAAGAGAATGTGATATGATATTACTTATATAACTGAAATATATATACGGAGAAGAATGAATGAACATGGTGGACGTCCATATAGGCTGATAATAATAGCAAAGGAGAATAGAACAATGGACATAGATGCTCATTGTCAGCTAGTCATATATGTATATGTATATGTATATATTTTTCTTTTCGTTCTGTAACCAATCAGATTAAAGTTTCTGAACTAAAAGTTTGTCTATTATAATATAGATAAGTACAGAATTTTTATTATAACTTATCAGAAAAATAATGACTATCAAGAAGTAAACAAAAATAAACAAGTTTTTAATAAATCATAACAAATAATAGATATACAGTGAACAACATGAAGATTTTATTGACGAGAGTTCATAGTATTCATAATATTGTTGAAAACATTTAAAAATTCTCACTCATTGTCAACATTTTCTTCTTGTAATCGTGTTTGTTTTTCGAGTAGATTTGCTACTTGTACTTCAAATCCAGATGCACTTTCACTTGCGCTTTCAATTTTATTTAGCAGCTGATCCATCAGATCAATTTAATTGATACGAAATTTAAAATGGATTGCTTTTTCTTGATTATTATCACTAACACAAACACCATATAAGCGACGTTCTCTTGCTAGTGATGTTGTACGAAATATTTTATCTTCAGGAATACTATATAAATCGTTAATATTTATATCTTGTAAGATATATTTTATAATCTATACGCTTAACTGCATATCAATCATTATTGCATGAAAGAATTTTATCACGATAATAATCTTTATTATGATAAACAATACATGACATATTGAGGAAGCCAGGTCAAACAATCCGGCACGGAAATGGCCTCTTTCGTGGCATTCCGGAAATTCATGGAATCCTGCTTCAGAAACCATCGTCCTGGGATGTTGGATCATTGTTTTTTTCTTTTATAAGTTCGAACCATTGAGAATATATTACAACTTACAATAAATAAGAATGTGTGTTTCGAGTTTGTTGCATATGACCCTCGTTATATATATATATTAGTTAATCTCTATTTTCTTTGTATATTCTTTTCTTTCTTTTCTGTATATATATATATATCCTTTATCAGCTGTTCTTTGTTCTCTTTCTTATGTTCATGACCGATTTTATTTTAATCTATAACTCATTAATCGAGAAGAAAATTCTCGACTTCTTCCCTGGATATATTTTCTTTATTCATCCCTTCTATAATTACCCACCATTTCTGTGAATAAAACAGTCTGTTGTACAAGTGATCATCTGATTATAGTATTATATCAAGGACTAATGCAAATTTGATTTTGACAAATATATTTACTGTTGTGTTGCTTCAAATCTTTTGTTTAGACATATATTTTCTAATTCATTTCGATAAATGAACCAATGAAAAATCTTGAAATATCATTGCAATGATAAAGGACTAAGACATTCACGATGAATTTCATTTTTCTATGAGGTAATCAACTGATAAATTTCGAACTAAGTTAAGAGAAAAGTATTGATCAATAAGTACAATCTCATGTTTACTTATTAATTTTATTATTACTTATTCTTGTAATGTGGAGTTTCATTTAGGATTGTTCAGCTTTGGACTAGCTACAACTTTTCTAGCAGAAATTTTTTAATCCGATGTTCTGTTTCGTTTAAAAGTGATTAATAGTAAGAAGTCAAATATTACTATCATTTTATAGTAGCGTTCAGAATAGCCCCACTCACTATAGCCAATGTTCATAACAGCCTCGGACGGGACTATCATGAACAAATGAACGGTGCTTCTAGTAAAACAGGTGCTTAACTTGTTCCCAAAGATATTTTTCAAAGATTTTTAGACAGGTGTGTAGAGAATACTTCAGGCTACATCTCAACATTTTTTTGTTTTTAAAAATGTTAAAAAATAAAAAAGTTATTATACTTTAAAGTCAAAAAAAAAATCTGTTCATAATTCTCCCTGTTTACTCTAATGATTTAGGTCGACGTTTAACATTGACTATTTCATGTGCTTCTTTCCAGTCTTCATATTGTATTACAAAATCAATCTATAAAAAAAGTAAAATAAAGAGAAAAGTATAAGAAATTCTTAGATCATGGTCTTTATGTTATGTTTAATATATATGGTTCAAGCACACATTTCAATGGTATTACTTCTAAAATATTCTCTATCTTATTCACGATATACTAAAAATCTTCCATGACCTGCTGAATTAAAAGTAAATGAATGATAAAGAAAATAAATATCTATAATTTTACATACACAATGCCCACCTTCATTCAGTTTTATTAATGCGTTTCGACATGCAATAATCAATTGTTGTTTCTTAGATTGTTCAATGTAACATGTATCGATATTAGCATTGATTGGTAATACAGAAATATCAGGAAAAAAATGAATGAACTTTTGATCGATTTAACACAAGGCTTTTTAACATATGTAGCTACTTTTAGTTCTTATATTCCATTCGTTTTTGGATTCTATACCAATTTCATAAAATTAAACATTATATTTTGTGTCAATAGAATGTGTGTGTATGAATGTGAATCATAAATTAGTATCTAACTTGTCTTAAAAATAGTTAATTGTTATTTATTATTTCAATGTTGTTTATATTTTATAATCTAAAGTATGACTTAATACATGGAAGAATCTTTGTATGGTAGTCATACATAGCAATGAACAATAGAAAGAAAATCATATAATCATTTCGAGAAATATTGTTAGTGACTGGTGGTATCTTTGGAATTTTTATTTTTGTTTACAGTTTTTTTATAGGAAGTAAGAACGTTCTCAACCATAGATCCGCTTAGACCAAGATAATTTGCAGGATCGCAGAGATGTTCAAGTTCAGTATTAGATAAAACTGCTGAGATATCTTTGTCTTCTTTGAGTAGATCAATCAACATACGATCCTCATCAAGTGCACGACGACAATAAGTATACACAAGATCATGTGCAGATTGACGACCTAATTTCGGACCAAGACTCATCATAACAGCCTCAGATACAATAAGACCCTTTGTTAGATTTAAATTGCGCATCATATTCTTTGGATGGACCTGTAGACCAGCCATCATTGATTTTGTTTGACTTAATGCACCAGCTGTAAGAATGAAAGCTTCTGGTAGAACAATCCATTCTAAAATAAAAGGAAAACAAGTTGAAATGTCTGTATAAGGGATCTTGAATAGATTCACATAGCCCTTCTTTTGCTTCTAATAGAAGATTCACTACAAAAACAAAATCTATGAATTTTACCTATTTCCCAAGGACCAGTAGCACGCTCATGGTCGCATAACATAGCATCCATAAGAGCAGCTGAATGTTGACGAACAGTAGCAGCGAGTGCATGAATATATACACAACTAATCGGATTAAACTTGTTTGGCATAGTAGAACTGGATCCACGATGAGGAACGTATGGCTCAGAGACTTCGTCAATCTCAGTTTGCATCATTAACTAAATCAAAATTATAAAATAATTATATGTATGTTTATATATTGAAAAGAAAGTTGATTCTTTTTCTTTTCTTACTTTAATATCCGTTGCGTTTTTGGATAAAGTGCCACATAGAATACCAAGAAATGCACCCACTTCAGCAAAACGATCGCGCTCCGTATGCCATGCAATCTCCGGTTGAGCTAGGCCTAATTCATGTGCTAATTCTTCCTGGCACTTCAATGCTATGTCAGCATTCAACGTAGCAAGAGTCCCAGCTGCACCTCCAAATTCCAAAGTTAGAACACGCTTTCGAATCTCTTCTATACGCTCCTTATGACGTTGAAAAGTGGCTAAGAGACGTGCCATCTTAAAGCCAAAACTAATTGGTACAGCTTGTTGTAAATTGCTACGACCAGCCACTAATAAAATCATGATTAATGATACATACAATAGAATATAATACAATATGAGAAAACGACTTACTAGGAGTTAATCGATGATCTTCAGCTAACTTGGCTACACTACTCATAATGTGATCCAGATCACCTTCGATGATATCAAGAGAATCGCGTATAGCCATAACAGTAGCACTGTCAGTGACATCTTGAGTAGTAGCACCCCAATGACACCATTCACCAAGACCATCACGACAAATAGAAACGATCTGTTGTACAACACCTAATACAGGATATCCAATTAATTCAGTCTTCTCTTTGAGCTTATCAAAATCAATGTTTTCAACCTTAGCTTTGGCGATAATCTCATCACAAGCTTCTTGAGGAATAATCTTGAGTTTAGCTTGAACTGTAGCTAGTGCAACTTCCCACTTCAAATAATATGCAGTGCGTGCCTCATCAGTCCAACGACCTAGTTGAGAAAAAGATAAAGATGGGTAGAAAAGTATTAAGTACTAATTATATCTGTACTTACTACGCATCGTAGCATTACCGAAAATATCTTTGAAAATATGAGAATCAACAATAGATGCCATCATGAGAAGGAAAGAGTATAGTATTATCTAAAAACAAATGTATTTTTGTAAACTCTTTGTGCTCTCCTAAGCTCATGAAAACCGCCAACAAACATTTCAGTAAACGATCTGTTTAGAACAACGCAAAGAGAATAACTAAATCATACTCTATGTGTAATATGTAATTTGAGAGTATGTAGATAGTGTAACGATAAACTCAACAAATAGCTATACGACCATGCCTAGTAATAATATTTTTTTTTGACTACTTCATACCATTATAGATAAGACAAGCTTCTACAAAAGAAAGAGAAAGAAAAATTCGAATAGGACAACAGAAGAAAAACAAAAATAAAAAGAGAAATGAACGAAGAATGATAAGATCGAAAGAATAGTATTAATAGATGCACTGCTGAATGTTCACACATAAAAATCAAAGTAGAGAACACATCAGTACGTTTATCATATAAACTTTATGTATGCAATTATATAGTACACAATAAATGGTTCGAATGCGATGTAATATATTTATGTGAACTACATCTAAACATTAACATAATGTTTTATTAAGAAAAATTATAATATCTTTATAGTATTGCTTAGTTTATTATTCTCTTTGTGTATATTTTAAAGAATAGATGCATAAGTAATTTAAATCATGTATAATGTATCAAGTTATATGATTTCAATAAAAATAGATGTCTCGCATTTAAATGAATAGAACCAGGAAACAACGTCAAACATCGACAGTTATGTATTATTAATGACATATTAATTAAATAAACGTAAATATTTATTCTTTGAAGAAAAATTGATGTAAAAAATGCACATCAATAAAAAAGTTGTTTTGAAAATAAAATTGAGAAAAAATAATAAATACAAGCAAGAAATATTTTAAGTTGGAATAGGATTAGCTAAATTATATACACGAGCTCCTTCAGAATAATCTTTACCTGGAACACGTTCTATAGCAGGAGGAAATTTCTCTCGTTTATCAGCATAATAAGCTTTACGAAAATCTCCATCAGATAAAGCATTGTAAGTTAAATAGTAAGCACGTCGAGGACGATTTGATACATTTTGTCCGGAGCGATGTGGTAACATTGAACCAAAAAATAATAGAGAACCAGCTTCAAGCTCTACAGGTTCCCATTTATTTTCTTTTTCCCATTTTTCAACTAACCATTTTTCCATAACACCATTTGGATGAGGTAGCATTCCAGATTTATGTTCTCCACGAACAACTTCAAGACATCCATTTTGTGTATCAGATTTATCAATAGCAATCATAACAGTTAGATGATGATCTTGATGAAAAGTAGTGTAAGCAGGTGCATCTTGATGAGCACCAAATCCTGCTCCTCCAGGTAATTTAAAATTAATTTTTTCTTTAAAAAGTATTGCCGGTGTCCCTAATAATTGTGAAATAGCATCGGTAATTTTTCCACGAAGTAATTCATTTAATTCAGGAAAATAATCTAAGAAATTTTCCGTACGACATAATAATTTTTTACCATCTTTAATCTCATAATATTGCATCCATTTGCCAGCTGTTTCAGGAAGTGCTAAAATTCCATCAGCATAATCAATTACTTTCTTTTTCTCAGTAGTTGATAACAAATCATTTAAGATAAGAAATCCATCATCATGAAACTGTTTAATTAAATTTTCATTGATAAGTTGATGTTTTTTCGAAACTGATGGTTGAATATAACTTGATTTTTGTTGTTGATTATGTGAAATAGTCCGAGATAATACTGTTTTAGAAATCGATGTGACAACACATGGAGATAATAAGCGTAGAGAAAACATTTTTATACTTCTAGTAGTTTTATCGTAGTTAAACTAACAAGTAATACGGTAACTATGTAAGTTTTATTTAATTTAATTCTGAAAATAGAAAAAAACGGTGAACATCATCGTATACTGTATTACTAAACATTATTTTTTAAATTAATAGAGCTATATCGGTGTGCGGGTGTGTATTCTTCTCATTTATTACTCACATCCTTAAATATTTAACAAATAAAATCGACTCTATCGATACTAATACAATAGATCACAGAAAAATTATTTAAATTGTATGCGAAAAAAAAAAATTTTTTACTTACTTAATCACTTGTTGAAGAATAAGAAAATTATGTCTATGATAAAAATACAAAAAAATAGGATCTTTGTTAGTTTTCTACATGAACTTAATTTAAATATTTCTTTGTAATAGTAGAAATACACTATCAGACTCTACTATATAAAAATATCATTTGAATAGTATTGAATAACAGAAAAGTTAGTATACTAATTACCGTTAACTATTTCTGTAGAAAGGTTAAAGTAAAAAAGTACAATAAACAATCGTTTTTATTTTTGCATTCTTTGTAGCAATTATTGATGCATAAATTTTACTTGTTCTTTTTTCTTTAATGAAACGAATGAGTCAGTAATCAGCTATAAGGATACGCCTATGAAGTATTTTTTAATCGTACACACAATAATCGTGACTCATAATTCAAGCATCACGAGGAGAGAAAAAAAGATATACCTGTGACTTGTCCGTGCGTTAATGCTGTATACTGAGATGCACAGGCGTAATAGTCCGCTAATTTATATTCCCATCTGATATTTTTTGAGTAGGTAGAAGAAAAATATAAGTTACTCATTTTTATACATAGTGAAATGTTTTCGTTTTATTATTGTAAGGTATTGACAACAAGAGAAAAAAAAAATTCTACGTCGATTCATGTGATAGACTAAAGTAAATAAAATAATTCAACGGATTTAAAATAGAATTGATTTTTTTTCTTCAAAGCAGCATCTTTAGAAAAAAGATAGAAAATCGAAAGTGAATTCATGTCAATAATTGAAGTATAAATCATAAATTTGTCTTTAAACATTAACAAATTATCGTTCTCTTAAAAGAAAAGTCAATCCTAAGACATGAAATAATGTACGAATTTATTCAAAAAAAATAGAATAGTATATAAAAAAATGAATTATTAGTTCTGCTAGCATTGAATTCCAATATTTCGTAGAGCATTAACTAGTTCGTTAAGAAACCCTGTTTTGTAAAGTATGACATTAGCACCAAGTTTTTTTACATGTTGAACTTCATCTTCTTGATCATCAATCAGTAATAATGCATCGGGATCTGTCTCACATTCTGCTGTTTTTAGAAGAGCTTGAGCAAATGCTTCATCTGTTTTAACAGCTTGCCAATCAGAACTCTGTACTTCTGCATCGAAATAATGTCGAAAATGATATTTATTTTCAAGATATTCTACTCGTTCAGGAATACCATCTGTATAAGATATAATACGATAATTATGTCCTTTAAGTCGCCGAAGTAAATCTAATATATCTTTATCCATTATATATTCATTGCACCATGTATCACATATAAGCTGTGAATCATAACCTTAAAAAATTAAATATTCTTTAATATTATATATTTTTCTGCTCGTCTTAATTTATCAAATAAGGAGAAATTACTTTCAGTAAAAATAAATGTATTTACATTATCGAAATTATCTGTAGTAGAATACTCGGTATTTTAACGATTATCTCAACTCTTATATTTACCTTTTGGTAATTGTTCTTGTGCCCATTTCCAAAAATCATTACTACAAATGTTGCCTCGTCTTAGATCCCATGATTCTGGACTAGTCATAAGTTTCCAAATAATATCGCCATCATATCCATGTTCTTTTTTCAGTTTATCTACTGCTCGCTGTTTTCCATCATGGAATAATACACCACCTATAAAGTATAGTTGAAGAGAAGATTAGTATACAAAGTATACCTCAATATTTCACTTACTTTACCATAGTCAAAGGCAATAACTCGAATTTTATGTTGTTGAGAATCCTCAGTATTTGTGTGGGACTTGATATGTGAAGTTAAATTCATACTATAATAATAAATTCAAAAAAAACTATTAAAGAGTAAAATGATACGTTTTTTTTTATAAAATAAACTAATGAAAAATGTGATGAATAAGATTTAATAGAAAAAGAAACAAGTAACGTGACGAGGGAAGTAAAGAAAAAAAAAGGGTGAAAAAAAATAGTTTGATAAGAACGAAAGAAAGTATAACGCGACAGCTTGTACTAGCAAAAAACTTCAAGCAATCCGAGAAACAACGATGTCTATTTCTTAAGGAAATAATTTCAGTCATTTCATTTAATAAAACTATCTTATGTAATTACCTTTACTCTTAAAAAATTCATCCAAATAAAAACGAGTGTGACTCATATCTTATTATATGACATTCATCGGAATTTTTTTTCACAAAATCTTGAAGTTTTGCATAAGAATAGATAAAGCTGTAGGTAAAAAAAAGCATTTTTACGAAATCTCTATTGATCTCTATACAAATCAACGGCTAAACTTTTCATCATTCAATATTTTATGTTATATTAGTCTGCCAATTCACCTTTTTGTTTTCATCGATCATCAATCGAAATATTATTATTGTTTATTTTTCTACTTCAATGATTTTGTACTTTTTTCCTGAATAGAAAATTATTATCGACATGTACCGACTGATGCATATATTCTTACGACGAAATAATATCGAAACTCAAAAGAATGTATTGCAACAAGACTTTTGATATATTTATAGTTCTGTTCTCTCGTTCTGTATATATGATATTGAGTAATATGTTTTGAAAAAAAATAACGTAAGAGTACGATCAATATAATTTTAATTAAATTAATAATTATTCAAGCACATGTTTAAAAAAATAGCTGTTTTAAAAAAAGAAAAAGAAGTTGTTTGTTTCATAAATTATGTTGATAGAAGCTGTAGAACAATATTTTCAATTTACTCATTGTTATAACTCAATTATTTACAACAAAAATTTCATCCTTTTTTCCATTCAACAGAAAATTCATTTCTACTAATAAAGCGCTATTTGGAGTAATTTGTACACTGAGTTTATATTATATACATTGACATAAATAAATTAAATTTAATATGATATATAATCTTTAATTATAATTCCGCCAATATCTAACATAAGAATAGC